GACACTTCAAAAGCTTCAGCAGCTGTTCGCTCAGCACAGCATCAGCACCACGGAAATACACGGATACATCCGTAGACTCAGGACAGAATTCACAAAGTGTTTTTGGGACTTTCAGGTGTTTGGACCAATGTTTTCTTTCTGATCAAACCAGAAAGCTTTAATGAGCAGCTTGTTTGTCTCACATTAACTGGTTGGACACAGAGGACATCGAAATGCAGCTGATTGAACTGAAAAGCTCGACTGTCAAAGTTTGCAGAACTACGAAGCAGCTGGAATCCACAGCTGTGCGTGTTCATGGAGCTGCATTTTGCATTTCTGAGGAAATTTTAGATGGCATCATCAGAAAGGTTGCCGACCCCCGCTGGAGACGAAGCAATACTGGAAGAGCATATGGGAGAAGGACACAACCCATTACAGCAATGCTGAGTGACGAGTGGATCCAAGAACAGACCACAGCAACCTCGCTGAACAGGGCCCAGTAATCATCACAGTGGCAGACATCCCAGATGAAGAGTGAAGAGTTGGACAGCACCAAGCAGGGAGGGAAGCAGGCAGATGTGTGATTACACCAACTTAGCATAAACCTTTATTTATATTTTAAATTCAGTCCAAGTGTGTTTCAAGCTGTAGTTGCCTTGGACTGTACTGTAACTTCAAGAACAACAAACAGAGGTTCTGTCCATGAGCGCCTTAATCCTGCTAACATTATTGTCTTTCTATTCTTCTCTCGTGTTCCCGCTGACAGAAAGGAGGCTCGGCTCATAACTGCGGCCAGCTGAGAACTGGCCAGGTCATTCTGGAGGTTGACGGCATCCCCTTGCAAGGCCGGGAACACAAAGATGCTGCCAGGATCATTGCTGAAGCCTTCAAGACAAAAGAAAAGGGACACATTGACTTCCTGGTAGTTGAGCCAGGGCTCTAGTATTGGAACTTTGCACTTTATGCAGCTTGTTTAAGAAAACACTGTTTTACGTGACAGATGCTAAACTCCATATGGTGTTGTCCTATAATCAAGGCTCATATTTTATTTTCAGGGAAAGGATTATTGGACTGATGTATCAGGTACTTGTTGATTGCACTCTACAGACATTTGCACAATTTAAAGTAGGTAGTATGATAACAATTGTTATAAATACCTGTTTAGTTTTTTCATTTTATTTAATTGTGTTTCACTTGAAGAGCTGTTAGCACTAATTGATGCTACAGTAATACTGACAACAGCCA